CTACACCCCAAAACACCCTCACTAGCCCCCGATTATTCACCCTCCCCGCATACACCCCAACCCCCCTCGCTGCCCCCCACTACACCCTGCCACCCCCCTCGCTGGCCCCCACTATTCACCCTCCCCACATACACTCCATCCCCATCTCTGCCCACACTACAGCCCCCAACCTCGCTCGCTAGCCCCCATTATCCACCACACACACACACACACACACACACACACACACACACACACACACACACAGCCCCGCCCGCCCCGGCAGCACTCCTGGCGGCCCCGGGGAGGAGGCGGCCGGGGGCTCCAGGCCCCACCGCCAGCGAGGTGAAGCAGGATCCGGACCCGCCCGCCGGTTGGGCTCGCGCGGCCGCAAAGGAAAGGCCAAGGCGCGGAAGTCATAGAGAAGGCGGAGCCGGCGGCTAGAAGGGTCCTGCTGAGGAAGTTGTCCAAGAGTGTTAACCAAGAGCGGCCCGCGGAAGTTGCGGTCCTCCCAGCCACCTTCAACGGCTCCAGCCCCTGCTGGGCGGCGCCAAAGTTACCTTGGGCCCAGGGGACACGTGACCCCGCTGCCGGCAAGAGCAGACCCCGGTGCTGGGCCCAGCCAGTAGGCGGGAAGCTGCGGTGAGGGGGCGTCCCGCTGGACTGGACGTGGGGCCGAGTCTGGCTGGGCGGAGCCTCGGGAGGGGGGCGGCCAATGAGAACGGGAGAATGATGGTGGTGGGGATTGGGGGGAGGCGGAGGGAGCCTGGGGGTCAGCCCTAGGGGTAGACCCCCCCCCGGGCCCTGGACCACCCCAGAATTTCAAGGGCTGGAAGCGGGGTGAAGCAAGGGGCACCCTGCACCCCCATGAAACATCCAGGGGGGCCAGCATGGAGTAGCACTGAGAGCAGGGCATAGGGCAGAGGTGGGCAAACTCCAGCCCGCGGGACCCTCCTGCCCGGCCCCTGAGCTCCTGGCCCGGGAGGCTAGTCCCTGGCCCCTCCCCTGCTTTTCCCCCTACCCCGCAGCCTCAGCTCACTTCGCCGCCGGCGCAATGCTCTGCGCGGCGGCTCTGCCGCTGCGCTGCCCAACCCGGTGCTCTGTGCTGCGCGGTGGCTCGGCTGCCTGTCCTGGTGCTCTGGGTGGCGCGGCTGTAGCGTCACCAGTGCTCCAGGCAGCGCAGTAAGGGGGCAGGGAGCAGGTGGGGTTGGATAGAGGGCTGGGTAGTTTGGGGTGGTGGTCAGGGGGTGGGGGTGTGAGTAGGGGAGGTCAGAGGGTGGGGAACAGGGGGGTTGAATGGGGGCAGGGGTTCCGGGGGCAGTCAGGGAGAAGGGGTGGTTGGATGGGGCAGGGGTCCTGGAGGGGGGGTAGTCAGGAATGAGAAGAGAGGTTGGATGGGGCAGCGGGGGGCAGTCAGGGGTGGGAGGGTCTGGGGGCGGTCAGGGGACAGGTAGGGAGGGATGGATGGATGGATGGGGCAGAGGCGTCAGGGGGCAAGAAGCAGGGGGAGTCGGTAGGGGGTGGGGGCCAGGCCACGCTTGGCTGTTTGGGGAGGTACAGCCTCCCCTAACAGGCCCTCCATACAATTTTGGAAACTCGATGTGGCCCTCAGGCCAAAAAGTTTGCTTGTCTCCGGCATAGGGGATGGAACTAGGCGTGCGGGGGTGCAGGAGCACCCCTGGTTTGAAGTGGTTTCCATTATACAGGGTTTACAGTTTGGCTCAATTGCTTTCAGCACCACCTCTACAGAAATTGTTCCAGCACCTGTAGAACAAGGTGGGACTGGCCCCATGGGTCCTGGCTTCTCCTCCCACCTCTGGGACCTTGGACAAGTCACTTCTGCTCCCTGCTGCAGTTTCCCTATCTGGAGGAGGAGGAGAAGGTTATGTCCATCTTATCTATGACTATCACAAGGCTACATCCTGAGGCTGTCCAGAGATTTCCAGCAACACCCAGCATAAGAATTCAGATCCTCCTGCTCCAAAAGGAGACCCACTTAGCAGTACAGGGCCTATGACACAACTGAGATGTTCTGGGTGTACACAGTAGAGGGCAGTAGTGCAGTTATTAGACAGTTTGCTATAACACCTTCCTACCCACCCATCTCACAGGGGTGTTATGGGACAATACATTAATAATTGTAAACACTTATAGTAATAATACTTTGCACTTCAGTGACACTTTCCCTCGTAGCTGCAAAGTAAGTTATAAATTCATATGCCTCACTTTATTACTGCCCTCTGATTGTACCATGCAGCAACACTGCATCAAATTCACCCTTGGTGCAACTCCACTGAAGCCATGAGAATTCAGTGGAATTACACCAATGGTGAGCTCGGCCACTTCCTGTAACTAACAGCAACTTCGGTGAATGAGTTGTGAGTGGTCTTTGTTTCATTTGTACCAGTTTCCAAATGCAATGAATAAAATCAGCCACAGGCTACAGCTGCTTTGGGTTGTGTAATTTCATTGTTTTATTTCAGAAAATCTTAGTTAGCGGCCCTGTCCTGTAAACACTTACTGCTAGGCATGGTCCCATAGACCAGTGGTCTCCAAACTTTTTTGATCGCGCACCCCTATCAGTAAAAAATTTTTGAGCACGCACCCCCAATATGTATATTTATTTATTTATAAATTATATACACGTACTACTGTACTAATATATTATGTACATTATAAAACATACACAAAAATACAAATTAAAAAAGGATGAGATAAAGATGAAAAACAATATTTAAAAAAATATTTTATTAAAGGTACAAAAAACCTTTTTGCTCTCACAAAAAAAAAAATTTTTTTAGTGAGAGCAATGTGATTGAATGTGCTTCATTATTTCTGAAAACCTTGGTTTAACACTTTGTAATACAGCGATTCGAAGGTCTGGATTAGGGTTAGGGTGTGGGAGGGCGCTCAGGGTGGGGTGCGGGGTCTGGGAGGGAGGCAGGAGGTGCAGAGCACTTACCTGGGGCAGCTCCTGTTTGGTGTGGGGGGTGTGCAGGTGGGTCTGCGCAGCGCAGCACCGCTCCCATGGCCACGATTCTGGGAGCTGCCCCCCCCCCCCCCCGGGGCCCTGGCCTGCAGCTCTAAAGCCCCTTTTGGAATGCGGTCCTGCGAGCACAGGCTGGAGGACTCAGGAGGAGCAGGGGCAGCTGCGCAGCCAGCAGCCGGAGAGAAGCGGCACTTTCCCCTTCAAAGTGCCGCTTCTCTCCGGCCGGCTTTGAAGGGGAAAGCGCCGCTTCTTTCTGGCCGCTGGCTGCCCCTGCTCCTCCACGGACCGGAGGACTCAGGGATGCATTCCAAAAGGGGCTTTAGAGCTGCAGACCAGGGCCCTGGGGCCCCCTTAGCCCAGGGCCCTGCATCCCCTAAAGCCCCTGCGTTCTAGGTGGCCCTGCCTGGACGGGGGGGGGGGGGGCAGCTTCCCTGCTTGCTCCCTCCCTCCCTCTTCCGGCCGCCCTTTTTAAATTTTTTCTCCAGCAGTGCTCCTCCTGCCACGCTGCCCTTTTGCTTCGGCGGTGCTCCTCCCGCCACGCCCCCCATGGATCATCTTGCGCACCCCTTGGGATGTACGCACCCCATTTTGGAGACCACTGCCATAGACGTCAGCAGGATTTCTCATTTTCACTACGGACGCTACGTTTTGCTGGATCGACCCCTGTATTTATGCAGCTATGGCTAGAATAGAGGCTGGTAGCCAGCTAGAATAAGACATACATCAGGGTGCATAAAAGAGGGAGCTGAAATTTGGCCATGGACACCATGCCTAACAGTGGCACTGCCACATGTATATACGGTAATACATGCCACTGTGGCAGAACAGTTTCTAAGCTGAATTGACACTTCCTCTGACTTCAAAGTATTCTGTATTCCTCTGACTTCAAAGTATTAATGCTGAACGCATTTTTAGACTTTTCCCTAAAAATTAATTTATAACCTGAGGTCAAACACAAGAAGCTTTAGCCCCAAAGATACGTTTCTGCTGCAGTAATCTACCTATAGACCTCAGAGATTTATGCCATTGACTTCAGTGGGAGTAGGAGTAGGCCCTTGAACTGGCCATTCTAGCTCAGCATTAACTATATAGCTGAAATTCTGTGCTGTGCTTCCTGGAGGTGCAGCACAAGGATAAAGGGGCCAAAGGTGGCTTTAAGTTAACTTGGCACACTCCCAATTCTGGCTCCTGTGGCCCCCAGTGTAACTTAGATCAACCAGAATGGCCACAGAAACATGTACTACAGCACTGCCCTGGGAACATCTCTTATGCCTAGGATGATCAGGTAATTATAGGTCTGTCAGTCTGACATCAATCCTGGGCAAGATAATGGAGTGGCTAATACGGGACTCAATAAAGAATTAAAGGAGGGTAATATACCATATATACTCGCTCATAAGCTGGTTCGTTTATAAGCTGACCCTCCCCCCCCCCCAAGATGGATAAGTAAAAATGGAATTTTTTTATGACCCATTCATAAGCCGACCCTATAATTCAGGGGTCGGCAAATTTTGGCTCCCGGGCCATCAGGATAAGCCACTGGTGGGCC